TTTGCTAACCCTTTCCGGAATTCAGTGCCATCTGGTGACTCAAATGACAGTTTATCTTTTACTATACTAATGGCGACAATGAACCTGTGGTCTGCAGTATTTTATGGGGCACCGTCACTTTTAAAGGTCAACAATAAACGGGAATGTGCACTTCACTACAATTATTTTTCAATCTCTCTTAGTGTCGATGGCGAAACAAATGCAGCCAGTCGGAACGAAGCGCCAGCCCACATAGACGCCTTGATAGAGTTCTATACATCAAGGGGCCTTGAAGCCGAGTGAGTGCTACTAACAGATTGACTGCGACCGAGTTAGAAATGAACACTTACGCAGCTTTTGCGTTCAATTCTTTCTTCACCCTGCGCTAACATCTAGAATGTAGTGGCCTCGAATCACCTGGGCTTAGGGGGCATCTTCAACTTCTTCCTTCATCAGTAAACAGAGGGCCGCCATTAGTATAGCACATATGCCGTTTTCAGATGATGATGATAGTGATCAAAGTGGCCAGACTGAATTCCGGAAAGGATCTATTAACGCGACACAGTTTACCATGCGAATGGCTGTCGACTCAGCCACCAGCATGGTGGTTGAGTCGACGGCCATTCGCGTGGTGGTTGAGTCGAAAAGAAAGTTGGCAAGGAAGAGACTTCAAGAAATTGGTCACGTATGCACTGTTGAGAGGAACCTCGCGAGATTGTGGGTAGAAAACATTTGAAACTGTTCGTGTGGGATTGGAGAGTTTAGATAATCTACATACTGGTCTGGTTACATATTCGTAGGAAAGGTATAGAGAGTCGCATATTCTAAATTCGCGATTTCTTTTGGATTAGACATTAGAAACGGATATATCCTTCCATGAATATTGAATCTGAACCTCCTACTTCGTATTCATCCTGTGCAACCATATTCCGGTCTGTAGTACCACGCTGAACAATACTGCCACGTCACCTGAAGTGTATCGACAAATCTGGGCATCCCTTTATTTATTTATTTTTTTTCACGAGAAGAAATTGATTGACATGGTTGGATCACAAATGAGCTTGTTGGGAAAAGGCACGCCAAGCCATACATGACACATAGAAGGTCGCCCCTCAACCGCACGACACGATCAATGTAGTGGCGCGGAAGTGAAGCACCATTGAAAGCAGCGACCTCGCACGAAAACCGGGAGAATATCGGACAGTCAAACGCGCCAGTTGTTTTTAAGGAACTGCGCAGTGCTTCCAGATAGAGCACAAGTCGGCCGAGCAGGAACAGCCCACATGTCTACTTTGGCAAGCAAGCAAAGCACTCAACCAAGATGGCAGCGGCCAGGGGCACTCTACTGGAACGCTCGAGACCTTAGCGTCACTTCCCGAGACAAACAGCTCCGGAGCAAATTGACGCGCTCCGCAAACGAAAGCAGCCATCAGGCCTCGTCACAGACACAGGCCTTGCGCGAGTTGCAGACAAGTGAAAGAAGTTTAATGGCACAGAGCAGACAACGGACGGCATGGAAGGGCTCACGCGATGGCCGGGACGGACATCTGACAGACGGGCGAGCGAGACGTACAGAAAGAAGGGCACACAAGTCAAGGTGGGAGACAAGACAAACACATCACGCGAATGGACAAAGGGTTTCTATTTGGTTGGGTAGGAAACACTTCATTTCTTCTTCGAACTTCTTGTCTCATAACTGCGATGGATTGTAAGACAGCAGGTCGGGCATCAATAGTACACGTATACTTAAACTACGTTTGTATATTTCGCGTACACAAGAGAAAGTATACTTAATAGTGCAAAGAACTGTATTCAAAGTACACAATCTGAAATGTTCAGCCTCTTGGGGCAGACATTTAAGCTAGCTTCCCGCTGTTCATACACCATCGGAGAAAATTACATTCACTTACTTTTCTGTAAAACACAGTTAATCAATAGCTACGAACATAAAAAAAAAAGAAGAGTCCGAACACGATTTGACCTGAAAAATGCGATGTGTGCACGAACAATGATCATGATGTTCCACTTCATCTTTGTCCCGCGCGCGTGGCTCACATCGTTTTTTTTTTTTTTTTTAAGTCTGATTGTAGCATTTTGAACTACGTCATTAACCGAGATCCATTCGTCATTCGCAGTAATACGCTTCCTGTGCGTTGCGCAGTAAACGGCACCCGCTGTTTTCTGTTTGTTTGTATAGTCAGTGATTTGCTGCAATTAGCCCGTCGGCCACGCGCCTCTCTCAATGCCACAAGCACGAGAGCTCGAGGTCGCTGGTTCGAAACGTTCTTACGCAGAACAAGCCCTCGCGCTAGAAATGCACGTCCATAGCCTCCTCTATATACTCACAAAGCCTGGCAGTTCGACGACGGAGCCGTAGAGTGCCCGGTCACAGATTTGGAGCGCGAGGATCTGGTAGCAGAGCATTTCTCGGGGCACCTGGACGTCAGCGCACAGCTTTTGCAGCGGCGAGGACCCGAAACATGGTTTTCAAACCCGACGAGAAAAGAAGCTGTAGCGCGAAAAGCACGAGCGGACATTCCATCGCTCGGGAGAAGGGTGTTTCGGCGTCTCGCCGCAGCGGGGCGCCCGTCACCTGGCTCTCCTCTCATCCGTTGTCTGCCGCTCTACCTTTTCAATTTCGGCGGCCGCTTCTCGCGGCGATCTACCAGGCTATGTCAGTATAGAGGAGGCTCTGGAACGTCTCAGAGGCATGAGCGCGGGCTAGCTCGCGCTTGTAGCTTTGCTGCAGCGAGCAGATTATAGCGAGTATTCACTGGCGGCCATATCTGTGTGCGCGGCTGCTGAGCGCGTGCTGACGGCGAGCTTCCGCAGTCCTTTTGGAGCGTGCATTTAGCACCATGCATCCAAGTTTTCTGGTCTTAGCGGGCTATTAATGTGAGCTCGTTCTGGGCATGCGCTCCAAACATCACCCCCAAATATGGCGTCCAGTGAATGCCTCATAGCGAGTGCTGTCCACTTTTTCCGGGTGCTGCTGCTGACGATCGATGTCGAGCAACTTGACTGCCGAGTGCAGCCGAGCTGCTTCGTCATGACACAAACGTCACGCAACGCCCGCTTGGAAGGTACGCGAGCGCCGGCACCGTTGTACCATCGTCGGCTTCCTCCTTCAGCAACACACGAGTCAACAACAATACAAGAGTGAAGAGTTCAGGAGCGAAGCCGGCCATGATGGCAGAGACAGAGAGGGGTGACGGAAGCCGTCTTCCCTGTAATCAGCAGCAGCGAAACACCAACATCGGCGCGGGCCATTGTTGCCAGCGCCGCATGCCGAACTTCGATTGACGGGGACCGGGCCGCCCATCAACGCCGAACCCATCGGCTAGGCGTCCCAGCGGGGAGAGTGCTGCTCGCAAATGGTGGACCCCTCGTTGTTTTCTTCTTTTTCGTTTCTCAGTTTCGATTTCTTCGCTTCGTCGCCACCGCGAAGCAGAATGGCTCGCTTTCTTCTTGTCCGATCGCCGATTGTCCGTAAAATAACAATGGACCGTTTTTTTGGGGGGCGTGCAGCGTTGGTGAACTTGGTATCATGCGAGGACATTGAGGAAACCGAGTTCCGCGTGTGCGGCTCGCGCTGATGACGACCGCGGACGGCTTCTGATCTGAGGCGATGCTTATCAGACGCGGTTGGAATTCGGGAAAGCGTATGGGCATCATCGGAGCAACTCGAAAAGCTACACTCTAAAGCCGTAACGCCACTGCTGTACGACGCCAAAAAAAAAAAAAAAAAAGGCTACAATCCACGCTGTGGAGGTGGTTGGACAGCGAAGCTCTGGTATCACCTGCAGCGATTGTCCAGTGCACTATAGACCCGTTTTTTATTTTATTTTTGGCAAACACCACCAGGTGGTGCTCCAGTCTCTGACGTCGGGGAACCTGGACGTCAGCGCACAGATTTTGCAGCGGCGAGGACCCGAAACACACTCGTTCGCTCGGGAGAAGCGTGTTTCGGCGTCTCGCCGCAGCGGGGCGCCAGTCACGTGGTTCTCCTCTCATCCGTTGTCTGCCGCTCGACCTTCTCCATTTCGGCTGCCGCTTCTCGTGACAGTCTGCCAAGCTTTGTCAATATATGGGAGGCTATGGTCATACAAACAACTGTGTGCAGACACGATCGAAGAATACATATATATGGGGCGAGCGTGCCTGCGGTGTGTCGTCCGCACACGGCGTTGTCTTCATGTCCGCAGCGTACACTGCGTCTTTTTTTTTGTAGGACGTACGAGCAGCGCGACTGCGTGGTGGAGGTCATCCGAAGCTTGACTTGTCCCGAGGCGAGAGCGAGGTTGTTCCCGTGGCGCCCTCTTATGGGGTCCCCACCCCCGTGACGTCACGATCAGGAGCTGCTTCAACGTGTGATCCTGGCTAATTTATCGTGACTTGCGAACGGCATAATTCAGTTCTGTGCGTAAAAAAAACGGTGGAGGCTCGGTGCCTTCTCGTCGCGTTCTGAAACCGGCAGCGTCGAAGTGGACGCTCTGGTATCGATTACGTCCGCCGATGAAAGCAGAAAATAATTCAACTAACGACGTCAGAGTGAGTATCGGGCCGATCGTGGAAGGCGAACCACAGCGACGCTTTTGCGCGTGTCCACTGCTCCCGACGCCACTAAATTGGTCACTCCAGCAACTAGAATGTCTTCAGGCTGAGTTCCCCAGGCTAAATTTGACCAAGAGGTAAAAAAAAAAAAAAAAAAAAAAAAAGTAACAGGTTATTTTGTGGCGGCGCTAGTTCGTGTATTTTGTGTAGGAAAGTCTGCAAGGGTGTTGGACTCGGCCGGGGATGTGTGTTGATTAGGGAGGGGGGGGGGGGGGGGGGGGTTACAGACCAACGCACGGCTCTGTTGACACGGGACATGCGCAGATGCTTTACTTGACGCTGGTTACTACGCACGCGCAGTGCTGTGCACACGTGGGTTGGGCAAACGCCGTCTTGTTTGTAAGCGGCGTGTCGGTTCCTTTAAGTCGCTGCCTTCGTGCCTGTCTCAGGTTTGCGGCGGAACTCACCGTTTGTCCCAGGTTATCCACGAAGCGGAGCCCAAAGTAGGCCGTCTCCAGCAGGTTCAGGTGCTTATGGACAACCTCCAGAAGGTCCTGACCCCGGGACGTGTTCTGCGAACAAACGCAAAAAATGTGAGCACGTTCTGCGCTTTATGCCACGCAGACCTTAAGTACTAATTACCCAAAATAAAAAGAAAGAATAAAGAAGAGCGTTTTTTTTTTTTTAGTTTTCATCTACACTCATATTGAGCCGCAGTACTGAACAGCACGTATTGCCAGCAGCGGTATAAAATCTTTGTTTGGGCGCCAGTCTGGCAACACTGGGCACGCCTTAGAAAGGCTTGACAATCTACACACGCCAGCAGCAACATGGCGGCGCTCTCGTGCGTTTGCAGTACGGCCTCTGTTCGCCGCCTTCTTGTTTCTCGGGTGTAGTGTCCGCTAGTCAAGCCTAAAGGGGACTGTAGTCAAGCCTCGCTAAGGCGTGCCCATGGTTGCCCCGTCTCGTGCCACTATACAAAACGTTGTCACAGTGGCCAGACTAGTCTTTGAAGGTATGACTGCTTGCAAACGCTACTCTCTGACGTCGCACCGATGTGGTGGCGCTGTTGTCGGCGCATGCGCAGAAAAATCACTTGAGTCTGGTTTCTGTGTACGCGCAGTGTCCGCACCTGGTTTTGGCAACCACGTACGTGTTTGTAAACAACACGTTGGTCTCTACCACAAATGCAACCGCCAAAACACAGCGTCACACAAAGGGACAGAATAAATCCTCCGGACCCGGGACTGATATAGATGTAGATCTTAAAATATACCAGGGGAATCAGTGGCTGACTGATCCCCCTGTTAGATTTCAAAGACCCCCCAGGCTAGTGATTGTACCGCTTACCCACCTTAAAGACCCCCCGAGCTAGTGGTTGTACCGCTCTGGTCTATTTGCGCATCTACAGCTGAGACACCAGACGCCCTTTTGGGACTGACTAACTTCCCGCTGCCTAAACATACACAGAACACAAGCAATAGCCGCGCACTGAAAACACGAAGACTCAGAACGCGTTCTCAAAGTGAAACGAGCGGTATGTGGTCCGAGTCGTCTCGTGGAAGCGAGCAGGAAACCCCGATGAGCGTTTGAGACAATTCGCCAATCTGCGACAAAGGCGGCCGACCCGATGCTCCTCGGCGTTTCGAGTAATTGATGCCGTGTCACGAGCACTCCATTGTGTCCCTTGCTGGTGTCCGTAACAGAGCGTGACAAAAAGGGTCACCACGTGTTGAAAGTGAACAAGAGTCACGCGTCATGCGGGCGCCTCGCTTTTCCGCGCCGAGGCTCGCTTTAAAGTCACACGACGGTTAGTGGCATCGCCGCTCTGCCTCTTAATGTACGACGCGGTAAACGACAGCCAGGCTGCAGTTTCCGCTTAATGTCACGCACTGTTCCCTACACTGCATGCCTATAGTACAATAGCAGATGTAGAGCCTTTTCGGTGCTCCGTTTAATTGCCGGCCAATTATACCGGACGCCTTGGCGCGACAATCACCATCGCCACCGACCGAGCCACCGCACCGTTCTATCACCTCGCTCGAAGGAAAAAAAAAAATAAAAAAAAAATAAATGATTGCAAAACAATGAGGGACTTCAACACTACTCGGGACATACGTGAGAACAAAAGACCCGCGCGGGTTCTTAAGTATAGCATAGAGAGGGACAAGAGGTGAGTGTCGAGAGGTCGAACTAAATTGCGGAAGATGTCGCGAAACGCCATCTATCGGAGTAGCGAGAAAAAAATACGAAACATGAATCGCGACAGAAGGACAGCGACGATTATAGGTACGGCCGCTCGGGTCATTTGCACGACGATGGTCGCGGGGCATATAACCGGAGCGTGACAAAAAAAGTGCTTCCGATTCAAGACGTCGCTTGTTTCCACGTGTCTCAAAATAGCTAGGTTGCTGGTAGCCTTAAATTTAGTGCCTTGCTCTCGATGGTGTCTTCCAGTACTTGCGTATATTTTGGCTACTTTCCATAGAAAAAAAAAAAAAAAAGCACCAAGATAGCTTCATTTTAAACATTTAAAAAATGACGACCATCATTTTTTTTTAATAAGACTACAAGTTTTATTTTACATCTTTAGTGTAGGTATTTAAAAGACATGCACTCCAGTACTGGCTTGGAGCCAAAACATATATCATGCCATCACACCCATCCAGCAAAATAGTCCAGTCCAATTTTGAGTCGTCATATCCCGCGTACCAACGCATCCGTCGTTACACCCTATCCAAGCAGAAACTACATCCATATCCATTATGACCAACATAGTTTCTACGGATTGCCAAGGAAAACAAATCTAAGGGTTTTTCCTTACGTGAATATACTTTTTCAAGCGCCAAAAACCATAAATTTCAGTAATTATAAAAGAAACAGTGCTATAAAGGATCGCTTCTTGAGAACGACGAGAGGAGCCGTCCTGGTGTGCCATGGCAAATCGATCTTCAGAGCAGGCTCTCTTTGGTCTATTGTTGCTTGTGATTTGCGACTTGTAAAACATTGATTGTGCACTGATCAGTTTTGACCAGGCTAAGGACTTTGTGGCTTCCTATTCACGATTATAATCGGCCTACCTCATTGTTGCTGCCTTTCCCAATGTGAATCTGCAAAAATAGTCACAGCATCCAGCTCAGCTTCTCACTTGCTCACCAACAAAGCACTTTTCTTTTTTAACGCGATAGCGTTTAGGAGTTTGTGTCGAAAAAAATCCGGCGTCGGCGTCGGTAGCACCAAACAATCCCATAATGCAACGCGCGCAGGCACGTGTGACGTTACACGGGGCCGTGACGTCATGGCCCAATCGACCCGCTAAATTTGGCGTGAAACTTTTCCGCTAAATGTAGCGGAAGGTTTTTTTGCCAAGTTTAGTAGAAAATTTTCACGCTGTATTTAGCGGGAAATTTTTCCGCCACGCTTAGCGTAAAACTTTTTCCCGCCAAATTTAGCGGGAAAGTTTCTCGACAAATTTGGCGAGAGACAATTCAAGTGAAAACACGTGACGCTACCGACTAGACCACGCACACACGCTTGCACGGCTTGGAACTAGCGCGAATTTAATTAAAAAAAAAAAAAAAAAACATTGCAATTTTTTTTTTTTTTTTGGTTGGGGGGGGGGGGGGGGGGGTTTAAGGCATTCCAAACACTAGTCTGGAAGAAATTAAAGGATTTCCAAGGTCTTGAAAAATGCATTTGCATATGCAATTTTGAGAAGAAAAAAATATTTTGCAAGCATTACGGTGGCAGCCGACGTTTCTTTCTCATGGCCAAAGAAGCTGAAGCTGAACGGCTGAAAAAGCTGATGAACCTTTAAAGGCACACTGACACCACCCAATTTTTTTTTTCCATTTTTTAGCCAGGCGCTTCATTATGGTGTCGTAGGACTACCCAATTATTATTTTGCAACAGAGTAGGGGGGGAGGGGAAGGGGGGGTTATGAATGTGCGAAGACTAATGCAAAATACGAGCACGGTGACCGAGCAGATCGAGTGGCCGCGTAGTATAGTATCAGCTTGAGTCCTTCCTCTTCCAGACTGCAGCACTAAGCGCACCACAACGATGCGTGCTATTCAATCAGCATGCATAAAGGTCTCCCACGTATAGACACCGCCACGAGGTTCTGAGAGACGCGACTCTATAGCTGAGCGCATAAAGCGAAGACACTTGGATACGAAGATGATCTCAAGAGCAGATGGGAATCAGTTGATGACCCTGAGAACGAACCACACCACGCCGTGCCAAGAAGAGAATGGCGTCTCCTTCGATGCGGGTGCTATACGTCCATTATTAAGAAGCACCTTGAGCCGCGTTGTCTCGAGAGTCTTTGGCACGGCGGTGGGAAAATCGAAGCGCGGTTGGATTTCAGATCGTCGGCGATCTGCAATCAAAATAACAAAGGTGTGGCTCTGACGATCACATATCCGTGTCGTCCATCAGTTCCTCGTTGGTTATACGCCTTTCCGGCGCTTATCACCCCGGCAAAAAACGCTGAGTCACTGGGTTGTGAACGCCTGCGCGTCGCCTAATATTCCATAGAAGACAGTTATTGCGCATGCTCAGAACGTCTATCACAGCCCAGAAGACAAAGATGGCAGCGTGCAGGAGGCTGCTATTGGAACGGGCTGCAGGACGATTGGGATTGTGTCGACGGATCGCGGATAATTTGACTGTATATGATGCGGGAGCGTACCTCTTGACCTTCGACGAGGACAGCGCGCGTATCCCCCCTCTTCAGGGTCACGGAAGATTGCAGAGGTACGAAATGGAGAGCGGAAACGTTCGGACGCCGTGCAATCAAAGCAAGTGTGTAAGTGTGGTGTGGACCGTCTTCAGACAATATCGCTGCCTTCCAAGGGCATGATGTATCTTCTCTGGGCTGGACCGCGTGAGTGCCCAAGGTCGAAGGCGTTTCTTCATGTCCGTGAAGAACTGAATGATTGGTGGTCAGCCTGAGAGATGCCAACGGTAATGCCGCGAAGTCTAAATACAAAGAGAGAAAGGTCTGTCCACTAAACGGTTTAAACAGACGAAGTGCTTGTCATATTCTTATACTGGGTGTTTAGGAAAAATAGAACAGCGTTTTTCTATGCGAAGAAAAAAAAAAGTACGATTATTGAACAGTTAAATGTATAACCGCAGACGTTTGGAAACAGGTCCCAAAATATCAGCACTTATCGTTATCTGATTCAACCTCTTTTACCGCATTTTAAGTTCTAATTTTCACTTCTGTTAATTTTCCCAGCGTTAGCCGATTGACATCCACCGCGAGTCCTCGTTCTCCATTCTGTCTCTTCTCTCGTTATTAACCGGCACGTAAACCCTTCACTTGCCCTCCAAAGAAACCCCAGCCCATATCACCCAGTAGACCCCGAGTGGGGGTTTCCCCATGATCACTCGACCCCAACCTACCTGACCACCCAACCGATACTTGCCGGTGATCACGTGACCTTTGGACGCAATCGTGGAACTCTGTGATCTGTATAGGGTCCTTACCGACCCCAACAAGCGTGACCAGTTATCGGTCACCCCGCGCAACCCACAGCACGACGAAGATGGACCATGCAATAAT